CGAGGGCACGGCCCCACGGGGAGAGGGCCGGGCTGCAGTCCCGGGGCTGGGGACGGGCCTCTCCTCCCTCGGGCCCGGCAGAGCTGCGTGAAACGGTCCCCGAGGGAAGAGCGAGTGTTCGGCAGCTGCCGGGGGCGGGGGGGAGGCGGGGCAGCCGTTTGCGGGGCCGCCGGCAGGAGGACGGGGTTTAGCCGTGGCCTGCAGCTGGCCTGGCTGCACCCGTACAAGGTGGTGGTGCCACCGATGGGCGTGAAATGGAAGAATGACAAAATCTGGCGCTGATGGTAATCAAGCAGCCTTGATTGAGTCGCTTTCATGACACTGTAGCTGCCCATGCACTCTCGTGGTGACTGCGTGGTTCCCAGTTCGTGCAGAGCTATTCACTGTTTCATTTTCCTTGTTCGGTTTGTGGCTCCACATTGGTATCAACATGATTCAAATGCTCTTCTGAAGACTGAGTTTAATCAAGGCTTTTTGGTGTTATTCATCCCTATAGCATCTGAGCCCGTTAGGAACCTTAGTTTGTTTTAAAGACAGCCCTTTGGGAAAATAACATCCCGTTATGCAGGTGAAAATTATTTGCAGTTTTGGGGTGGAAAACAGTGGCACAGGCTAATAAAGCATGAATGCATTTGATGAGGCCTCTGCTCTGCGGTGTGTAGCACTTCCTCCTTTCAAAATACAGCTCCCAAAATTCCCTTGCAGCAATGGATACTTTCTAAATCTTACCTTAGAGCATCAAGGTAGGCATCTAGATAGTAAGGAGCACCACTAGGATCACCTTGAAAAGTCTGGGCTGTCATCATACGGGAACTTTGTGGCAGAGGCAGAATCTACTTCTCCAGCATATTGCTGAACGCAGAACCTCTTGTTGCTTCCTGCAGTCTCCTGACTCATTTCGCTCTGCACAAATGGACCCATTTCACGCAGCTTCGTTCACTGCCTGCGCTGCTCGATCCCCAGGGAACGTTTGTGCTCCGTAAGGTGGAGATCCTGTGCAAGAACATGTGCACACATTTCAGTGCAAGCTGTAATTGCATGATTGCAAAGGATCTGAATTAAGACTGCAAAATGTCAGGAAGTTTCAGCGACAGATAAGGCTTTTAGCTTTCCCTGGTAGTACGTATTCATTTCTGCTCTTTTATTGTGCATTTGAACATTTCAGGCCTCTCTACATCTAATTAGGCAAAATTGTTCAAATTCTATATTATGCTGTGATTCCTCCTCTTAGAATTAAGCTTTTCTCCAGCATAGATACCATGTATCACATAACAGGTGACTTAAAATCAGTAAGTATCATACATGTGACATAGTGTCAAGTGTAAAACATTTCAGCTATAGCTTTTTTTAGCTGCAACAAATGAATAGATTACAACTGACCAGTTACTAAAGAAATTGCATTGCAGAGGTAAGAAGGCAATCAGTTCTAGCTGGTTGTTGGCTCTGTGAGATTTTGTGTCCCCCATTCAGATGGCGATTCAATGTGAGATTCTTACAAGCATGGATGTTTGAAAAACTGTAGTTTTACCGTCATGAGATCTTTCTCTTGCCACGTTACAGGATTCTAATGCAGGCATTTTGTGTGTTTCAGTGGTTGAAGGATTAGCTCTGCTGGATTTAGGGGTCTCGCCATATTCTGGAGCTATTTTCCATGAGGTTGGTATGCATGTTTCATTTTAAACGTGATGTTCAAGTGGCACGTTTCTTAGCCCTACTGCTCACAGTCTGGCAAAGCCTGGGGACTGTCTTGTCCCAAAGACTTCAGAGAACTTGGAGTCGTGTAGTTGTCTGTGCAGTAGTGGTGTACGTAGTGACGGGCACAGTAAGGAAATAGTTTGTCACAGAATAACTCGTTGCTGTGCAGCTGATAGACATCGTAATATCTGTTAGTGCACACGGAGAGTCTGAAATGGGGCAAATCTGTAGGAAGTAAAATACTCTGTTCACATCCAGGTGTTTCTGTCAGCAGAAATCAGACCAGGGAGAGACAGCATCCTTGTGAGTCTGAACACAGTTTTATTGGATAGCGGCACCTTGAGTTTCTGCATTTGCAGAAATATTAACGTTAGCACAAGCATGCGGTACCTTTATTCCTCATCTTGAAAACACCTCATTCCTCCAAACACTTAAGCACCTGTGGGGTGCCCTTGAGTGGTATTACTGATACGAAGGTACACTCATACATAGTGTCACCTAGGGGTAAGGCACGTACTTTGTGTACCTCTGAAAACTTGTTTCTCATCAATAAATTCTCCTTCTTTAAACACAATTTTCTCCCAGAATGTGAAATATTTTCCAAGGCTTATTTATACCGTCACATTATTTTAAAAGTATTTCAAAAGAAATATATTTTCTCACAGTGAAGACTGAATTTACACCACATAAATATAATACTTCCAGATTAAGCTTTTCTGTCATAGGAATAGTCCAGAAACATGCTCTTCCTCTTACCCTGGAAGGGAAAAGCTGTGGGAGTAAGAGGATGATAGACTGTAGTCCTACTGCTTTATGTTTTTAACATGCTTTCTTCTTTTTGCTTTATAAAAGACTCATCTAAACAAGAGGCAAAACGGTGAAAGCAGCTATGTAGGAAATACTTTCAAAAGTACCTGCAAACAACCTGAAAGAAGAGATTTTCTAGAAAAAAAGTATTTTCTAAAGCTGTTCTTTGTATGCTTTCTGTTGTAACTCTACCGCTGTACTAGTAGAACTGAAAAGTTGAAATACAATATGATTTTCAAAGTTGATGGTGTCTTTTATAAAGTGTAAGAAAGACCAGTAAGTGTGCTTTGATTCGTCATTTACTCTGGAGTAACAGCGCTGCAGAAGAGGCTGAGGAAAGTCGCCTTTCACAGTCTCTCATAGCACACTCTGGTTTTCTCTTCAAACCGCCGGTTGTTTTATGTGGACAGTATTTGACGTGGGTTTCCCTTCTGCTCTCTTTTAGACCCCGCTGATAATATATCTCTTTCACTTCCTGATCGAATACGCCGAATTGGTGTTCATGGTGAGTGCTTCTGGAAAGCTCCTCCTGAGAGTCCCCTTCTGTGAAAGGCTGAGGATGGCTTTCCTTTTCCTCCTGCAAGAATCAGGGACCTGCAGCCTCCCTGTAGTTCAGATTTCTGCTGAGCTCACAGTTTGATTAGAAAGGCAGCTTTGCCTGTACAAACCCACGTTCAGGCTTTTCCCTTGTTTTTTTCCTTCTTTTTTTGTGAGTTCTCGGTTAGGTAGGTATCCCCACAGAGGGATGAGAAGTTGGCCTTTGGTTTCAAATGTTACCTCGTACAGGTCAGAATGTTTTGTCCCCCCAGCCCCATCCCTACACTGCAGTGTTTCTCACTAAAACCCTCTGCCAAACCTCAGGCCTTTAAAGAGAGCACAAACGGCTTCGTCCTCCAAATGCCTCTTGTAAACTGCTCTTGGAGTTCTGCGGGACCGGGAAGGACAGGAATCCTACAGCTGGCTGCACGTGCCACCGGGGGGACCCTCTCTCCCCAGATCCTGCTGGGCAGGTCTGGTGCAGAGCCAACAGCCATCTGCACTGTGCCTGTGCTGCTTGGGCAGAGCACTCGCTGCTGCCTGGTGAGTTTGGGGCAGCTCAAAGCACTGTCGTGCTGGATTAATGGACAGGTGGGTTTGGCCAGCAGGTTTGGCACCGGCCCAGTGTTCCCTGTGCTCTAATCAGACCAGTGATTCTCTCTCACTCCGTGAACAGTTGCTTTCCCCTCAATTCACCATTCTCTTGTTTTGTAAATATTAATATCTGTGATACAGCTCATGGCTTCAAGGTTAAGCGGTGGTATGTGAGCACAGGGTACAAATTGGCAATCTAGTGGTTTTAAAGCTTGTTTTTTCTTCTTGTGAGCTGAGTCACGTCAGAGTCCTTATTTAGCATTGCGTACTGTCCAGTACCTTTTTCTCCATTTGTTTATTTTGCTCACAGTCACTCAGTCTGTGCCTTGCTTTTTTAGATAACTGATGTGCTAACTGCTGTTGCCCTTTACTTGGCCATCCAGGACTTCAACAAAGTTGTGGTAAGCTGACTTGCCAGTGTTGCTGGTCCTCTTCTCCCAGCAAGTATTATTACCTTGTACTAAAGAAAACACATGCCAGAGGATGCAGTATCAGTCCTTGTTGCAGTAAATCTGCTCATACCTGGGCGATCAATAAACGTGAGGACTGAAAGTGGTAAACAACTGAGGTGTTTTAGGGTTTGTTGTGGCAGTATTACAGTATGAGACAAATCAGTGTCTGTAGCTACCACAGTGCAGCTGAGTGATGGTCACAGCAGTGTAGATCCTTTGATCTGAGAGGAGTATGAAGAATTTGAGAAGTTTGTGAGAACACAATAGCCAATGAAACGCAGACAAGTCTAGGGTCACAGCACACAAGAGGAGATGGGAGATTTTAGCACGTGTACTGAAAACCCACCGTCAGTTGTGGTGGCAGTTTGCAGTATGCAGAGTTTAATTACTAGACTATGGATTTGGCAAGACTTGAACACTCCCTTTTCTCACCTCTGTCCTCCTGCAATCTTGTACACATGTTGTAGCTAGAGCCTGGAATGTTCTACCTGGAGCAGGGTTTGTTTGCACACAGCATCAGGTAATAGACTGGAAATGTGTAAAGGAAGGAAGAAAACCTTTGAAGGTTGCTGAGGTGACATAAATCATTCTAATGAGCAAGGTGAAAGACTGAAACAAAATATTACCTGCTCCCTTCAAGTTGTAAGTATATGTATTTGGAGGCAAGCGATTCCTCCCAGCTCTCTCTCCGAAGTAGCTCAGAGAACATTTTAGTGCTGTGCTCTCTGTGATCCTAGAGGGGCAGTGATTCAGTGTTAGCAGGAACAGGGAGGCTGCATTTTCTACAGCGTCTGTGTGGTCTCCTGTCCAGCTGTGTGCTTGTTCCTTGTCCTCTGACTTTGAGGTGGAAGAAATAACTCATGATAGAACTGCAGACATGTAAAAATCCTGCGTGTGAGTGACTTTGCTTGTTGAGGGTTTGTTGCCAGCATGTCTCTCCATCTGTCTCACTATGACATAGTTCAGTAGGTTCATAATTCAGATTTCTCTTTTGTCTCCATAGAGAGCATCATAGAACAGGATAGATTAGAGAGCGAGATTTGGCCTAAAGGTATCCATGTTCAGAATAACAAAGATGGCATGCTTCTGTGGCTTGGTTTCTCAGGGGCTTGTATGTTGACCAGTGAACTCATGAAGTCAGCTTTTCATTGGAGATCCAGACAGGCTTTAGGAAGGTTGAAAGTATTAAACTGGTGTGGTGAATTCACTGTCAGCTGTGTCAAGAGCTAGACACAAGTAATTAAGGAAGTTCAAATAAGTAGAGATTATCTGCTTTCTCATGACTTCCGCTTCAGTTGTTAAGTGATTTAGGAGAAGAAGGGGGGCGGGTATTCTGTTTGTACAACACCTCCTGTAACATGAGTTCAGCCTCATGCCTGGGGCTCATATAAGTTTTATGGTAATGGAAGTGCTGAGTAATAAGAAATAATGACTTTCCTCATCTGACAGTCTTTGGTCATTCTCCCTTGTTCAGTTCAAAAAGCAAAAGCTCCTCATAGAACTGGATAAATACGCACCAGATGTGGCTGAGCTCATCCAGACGCCCATGGAAATGCACTACATCCCCCTCAAGGTAGCGCTATTGTAAGTATTGCTTCTTGGCTGCCATAGGCTGCTTTGGTTCCTCAGCTCCCTTGGGGTTTATTTGTCTGATTTGGGGTTTCCAGATTTCTTGAAGATTCTTTTCTTTCTCCGGAAGAAACGTAAAACGTTTTACATTACGCGTAAAAATCCCCCCAGCCCTGAATACTCGGTTTGAGAGTGAAAAGCAGATCTTTTCCAAATGTTTGTTGCCGACAAGTAAATGCACTGAGACCCTCTAAGACAGACTCGACAGCATAAGGTTGTTAATTTGGTAGCAAGAATGTTGTGCCTGCACAGATCACATGCCATTTATTTGGCCTGTATGCTAATCTTATCAAAACTGATTCTATGCCTCCCAAATGTCTCAGGTGTCTTCTCAGAAAAGTTAGGAGAATTTTTGAGCAGTTGGACAAAATGTTTGCTGAATATCACAACTTGAATATCCCAGAATTGCTTGTAACAATTCAAAGTTATTTTCAGGTTGTCATCTTAATAATGTCATGTCTTGGTGTTCCTCTGGATACTAAACATTTTTTTTATTTCAGAAAGCTTCAACTAAAATAAATAATATGCAAGCAAGGTATTTAATGTCAAATAATTATTTTTAATTGGGGTTTTTACATTAATAAATTATTACCTGAATCATTCTGTGTCAGAGAGAGTTTTCCATTAGATAAGTTGTTATTTTTTCTTACTTTCATATGAATTTTGTAAAATGGTAAATTCCCCAGGGTGAGAAAGGTAGAGTTGGCAAATTGCAGGTTGTTTTGTGTTTAACCTTTTTGCCTGTTACCACAGCAAGGTTGGTGTTGCATTGTACCTCTCCTGCTGTAGGCTGTCTCTCTGGAAACACAGACAGGGGCTCAGGGGAGTACAAAAAATGCAGAGAGAGAATGGTCAGCCCTGTCTGCTCACTCTGATGGCTGACTTGGTTATTAGCAAGGGTGGTTGATACGTTGTCTTGCTTATTGTATCGGTAATCCTCCCAGACACTTTTCTGTGCTCTGAACCTAATTGAATGAGGTTATTGCAGTTCTCATTTCCAAAAGGAGCTGGCATCTTCAGTAAGGATTATAAAGCACGGCTACTTTCTGGAAGGTAAAGTTGTTCAGAGTTTGCTGTCTTTCCATAATTCTAATTAAAATATGCCAGATTTTCGTAGCTGGCAGGTTTTGTGCTCAGATCGTGCCACGGTGAACGTAAATGATTCCTCTGCCGTAGCACGAGCAGGTGCAATTGCTAACGTCTCAGGATGTGTTTCCATCTTGCAATCTTCTTCTTACTGTTACTTCTTCAGAGCCCGTAGATGTGAGTCTCAGAAAGAGTTTACTTTGGACCCAGTAGTCCTAGGTCTGACTGAATAAATGCACAATGTTTCTGCAGAGTGAGGAACATTTTTGGTAGTCGTTGTCCAGGACAGAGCTTGCATTTTAGACATCTTCCCAACTGTCTCCTTTTCTCAGTGTGCTCCCTGTAGCCACTTGTCCAAGGCTACAATCCAAAGAGCTGGTTTTCGCTCCAGACTGAAAAACCTGTTCAATGAGTTAATTTGATGATGAGAGCATCCCATCAAATGTAAATAAACAAAAAGCAATGGCAAAGTGCATCCGTTTTTGCTTTAAACATCTCTTTAATTAGATGCTACGTCCTTTGAATGTAACTCCAGCTTTGCTCTTTTTCAGCTACCTGTTAAACCCCTACACTGTGATGTCTTGTGTGGCAAAGTCCACCTGCGCCATCAACAACACTGTCATTGCGTTCTTCATTTTAGCTACAATAAAAGGTAATGCAATGAAGAAAACATGGTTCTTTATGACTTTCTGTAAAGATTAGAAAAGTAGCAGAAATTACATCGAGGTGGAACTTTACAGATATTGTTGCTACAAAGATCTCAGTGAAACACAGCAGAAACGGGGCTGGAGCAAGGTCGAAGTTCTACCTGAAATCATGAGATCAAGAGACTTTATAGTCAAGTCACAACTTACTTTCCCTTCAGCGTACCCGGGAGTTCCATCTCTAAAAACTGACTCCTTTTCCTGGGTGACTTCAAATAGTTTTCTGTTTATGAAGAAATGAGTGTCTGTGTGTAGGAGGACATAACGCTCTGCCGGTCTTTCTTTTGTATGTGAATACACAAAGTGTTGGATACAATTTAATTTCAAAGTGTGACTTTGAACTTCCATTCAAAAGCAAGAGCTGCCTGCAGCTGTTATTTGGCTTTCACTCACAGTTGTAACCTTGGTGTGGAATCAGCTCATTGAGCTTTGGGGAAGCAGAAACAGTAACCAAAGACCCATACCAGCACAGCTGAATAGATTGTGATAGACCAGCTGTTTCATTCATTTTGTGGATAATGCCAGATTCCTGTTTCTTTTAGGACTCCCCAGTGCCAAAGTCTTTTAGCCCATGTGATTTGTACTAGTCACATAAGTTTTAGGAGTTCTCTGCTGGATCAGAGGAAAGGTCAGTCTGATCTCTTGTCTCCCAGCGGTGCCCAGACCCAGACATTGCGAAGAAAGCTGATATAAATTATTTTTATTAGTGTTTCCAAAAGGAAGTTTTCCTCTAGTTATTGACCAGTTGAGGCAGGAGGAGTTTTGATTTAAAAGCATTTGCAAAAGCAAACGAGTGGGGTCTGCTTAGTTAAACTGATTTTTACCTGTTCGCTGATACCATAAGACAAATAGTTCAGACATAGACAAAACTGTAGTGGCTGTCCCCTGGTTTTTCTCCCTGACTGGGAGTGTGGCAGCCTCTAGGTTTTAAAATGGGCAAAGAGAGGATATCAGGTTATGACTGATTTCTGGGTGACAGTTCTTTAGATCTGTGCAAAATTGAACTCTTGGTAAAATAGAGGATAGGGAGATGTCTGTCTAGGACAGTGTCACTGAAGAATGGAGAAGGCTCATCACCAGGTAACCCTATATTTTCTCTTCCAAAGGTGGAAGCAGAGAGAAGCTTACTGAGTGTTCGGTGTCAGTAGGCTGACCATTAGTCCGATGCACTGGGTCAGGATTCTTGCTGTCTAAGCCATATTTTGACAGATGACTTCCATCGAGTGACATAAGGCTGAAAGCTATAACCAGGCTACTGCATGGGTGCCTGTATTTTTATTCTTTAACCTGGGACCTGTTGGACTTCGTTTCTGGTGTTGGTGGTTGGGCAGTGTGAGTACTCGGTCCTTAGCTCAACCTGAGACACCTGAAATAAAGGTTCCTCAGAAAAGGTGTTCATATGTTTAAGGCCACTTGGAAAAGCTGTGCTAATCCTTTCTATGCCTCCGTTTTGGTATCTGTAAAGTAGGGCTAATGCCCCTTCATTCCTTCAGCTGCAGATTTTTGCTTGCTCTCTCTCACAGTGCTTTGCTGAGGGCCCTGACACATTCTGATGACGAGGTTATCCAGCATGCCCAGTATAACAGCTGTTCCATGCAGATGTGACTTAAGTGAATGCATTCCCCTGCGTAAAGAGCAGCCAGTGTGGTCCATACATAGACTGAATTACATGAGTGTCTTTCTGGATGTGAATGATACAAGACATAAACCAGTCAGCAGTTCTTTCTTGTGGGAGAATCACCTTGGTATGAGTCATTCTCCCTTCAACATGTGGTTAAGAAAAGGACACTCCAGGACACATTCTGCTAAAAACGCCTTTAAGTGGTCTGATATTTGTAAAGCCCCTGCAGAGCATTAGGCATTTCTTCCCGTTTGGACTTCTGTCTGTGAGGCTGTGTAGGTTGCATGCTCCTTACAAATGCACATATTTTCTTTCTTTGCAGGTAGTGCCTTCCTCAGTGCTGTGTTCCTGGCCTTAGCAACGTACCAGTCACTCTACCCGCTCACGTTGTTTGCTCCAGCACTCCTTTACCTTGTACAGGTAGATGATTCCTAACTTGGTGCCTGTTGTCTTCTTGTAACTGTGCAGGGATAGTCCTTAGCTATTGAGAGGGGAGTCAGGCAAGTCCTGAGTTTCAGAAAAAGTGTCTCTCCTTAAGCCATGGAAAGTTTGAAGCCTTAGTGAGGATGCCTGTGCCTAGAGAGAAGGGAGCAGGAAGTCATCTACAGAACTGGCTGGTGCTTAGCTTGCCCAAAATAAGTGCTATTCTTTGGGTCGTGTGAATAGCAATGAGGGGTGTAGACCTGGAGAAGTTTCTTTGCGCTGACGTGGATCACTGTTTGAATGAGGAGCTGTATGTTTGATCACTCAGACTCAGACATGCTGATTTGGAGTTCAAGGGCAAAAGGCAAGTGCTTGTGGAAGTGGCTGGTTGCCTTTGTCCTTTCTCCCTCCCCATTAACAGGACCCCTGAATTCTGGGAGGGCTGACCTTGACCAGTGGTGGGCACACAGTGCCTCAACAGGCAGACACTGCTCCAGGCAAAACTAGCCCAGCGGTCGCTGGTCAGCACAGCTGCAGGCAGGGGTAGGGTTTAAAGCTGAGGCATCTCTTTGCTGGTGAGTGGATTCATCACCAGTTTGCCTGTATGCTTCCCACTGGTCTCTCTCTTAGCTCTTGGGCTGATACTGTAAACAGTGACTTAACTGAGAATCCCAATTATAACACACTTAATGAAAACTGATCATTTGCTAGTCTCATTCTGACACGGGGGAAAGGCAAGGTTGTGACCGCTAACAGAGCACTCTTATCCCAATTCGCAGATCACACGGTGACCATTTTTGTTATTTTTGCCATTCTGAAAGTCCTGCTGTTGAGTGTTTTGCCAGTCTTTCTTGGTTGCTTCTATCCTGTCTCCCCCTTGATTTTTATATCAAATCTTAACTACAGGTTCGTTACAGCCTCTTCTCAAATCTCTGAGCTTGAAAAGAGAATGTAGTCAGTTGTAGTCCGTTTTCTTTCCCTGACTGTCTGACATTAATGTCTCTTACTTTTTTCAGAAATTTTGTTATTATTACTGTTTGCAAGACAAGAACTTCTGCAGAGTCAGCGTTTCTTTTTCAGTTTGACAATTTTTAGGAGCATTTACTTTATATATTTTATATTTTGGTCTCATTTGTTCTCTTTTAGCTTTAGCCAAAGTAAAGTGGCAGTAAAGCACAAACATTGTGTTCAGAAGCAGCAACAAGAGCTTTGATATGTGAATGCCTAATTTGCAGCTTTTCAAGGGGATCATGCTAATGTGTATTCTTTTCTCTAGATTTGTAAAAGGACTTTCCTGCATACAGAATTAAATAGCTTTTCTCCAGCACTTTCCAATCTGTCCTGCCAAAAATCCTTGGTAAACTTGCTTACATTGTTCCAGCAAGTGGTGTTAAACACACTATGAAAACAGAGCATGCTTTACGCAGGGCCCACATCAGTTAGGGCCGGCTCTCTGTGCATCTCCTGCCAGCATAAACCTTGCTACCAAATGGAAAAGCTACATCACTGACTTGGAGCTGCAGAACACTGCGCAGTTCCCAAAGGTGTTTGCCCTGCGTGTGTATTTGTCTTTACAAATACAGTCAGGGGACCTCTTGGAGTGAGATACCCATGTGTCGTGTTAGGTGACGAGGGCTCGGGGCTGACCTGTCAGGACCTGTGGCAGTGGCAGGACGGCAGCCGTTGTCTTTGAGGAGGCAGCCTCTTAGAGGGGCTCCTTTGTGCTTAGGAGCCCACTGGATATCCTCTTGCCCTGATTTCAGCAGAGCATGAATGCCAGTCTGTGTGGTGCTGACATCGCAGGGCGGCGGGTCGTGGAGTGGGGCTCTCAGTCACCCAAGCTGGCGTGGGTTCATGCGGCAGAAGGCAGGCAGCCCTGTAGGGTTGCAGACGTCTGAGGTAGAAGCGTAGCTGTGTGTAAATCTGACATGGAATGCGTGAGACTTGACTCACTGCGAGCAGAAACGCCCTGCTCAGATCCGGGATTTTCAAGCACAGTTCTGGAAATACGTGCTGTGTGTATGGCCAGAGTGAAGAACGTCAAGCAAACTGTGGTTGAGAGCTGCTCCTTCCAGTGCCACAGTGCCAGTGTTTGATGCTTCCTTTCATCGCTTTAAAGTGATGTTCTGAACTCTCGGGCTTTCCTGTGCCTCTCCACCTGATGAGGGATGTCTGCCTGCTTATGTTTCGTTTTCAGCGTCAGTTCATACCAATAAAACTGAAAAGTAAAAGCTTCTGGCTCTACACCATGCAGTATGCAGCCCTGTACCTGTGCAGCCTGGTGGTGATCATCTGCCTCTCCTTCTTCCTCCTCAACTCCTGGGATTTTATCCCATCTGTTTACGGGTTTATGTAAGTATAAGCATTCTTACTGGTTTTTCGGTCTAGCCCCCACTATGTTGTTTCTTGTGCATCACACACAGGTGCCCCACTCACCCTCTGTCCTAAGGAGTGTGTAATCTGGTTTTACTGGCAGTGCAAGAAGAGTGTGTGGAGGAGAGCAGGCATTCCCCAACTTCTGTTAATTAAGTGACAGCAAGAATTAGAGAAGATGGGAGGTGTTTTCCACGAAGTTGATTGGAAATAGATTTGATCGTTGAGTTACCATGGCTTTGAAATTTTGTCTCTGGAGAAATGTGTGCTTGGGAATGGTTTAGATCCTGCTGGGGCATGAGGAAGGATTAGTCCCTTTTCTCTCCAAGTATTCACCCCTTTGGTTTCTCTTCCGTGGATTTAAAATGTAGGTCCTCCATCCAGTAGCCCATAATGATTGATTAGTGTAACAGAAGCAAGGCAGTGAAAAACAACCATTTTGAAATGTTACCTTGATTTTTCTTTTCCAATTTCAGCCTTTCCGTTCCAGATCTGACACCCAATATTGGCCTTTTCTGGTACTTCTTTGCAGAGATGTTTGAACACTTTAGTCTTTTCTTCGTATGCGTGTTTCAAATTAATGTGTTCTTCTACACCATTCCTTTGGCAATAAAGCTCAAGTAAGTATGTTTCTCTGCTAGTTTTCTTACTCAGTTGTCCAGTGGGTGCTTATAAGGCTGGCATCAGATGTCTGGATCTGCAAGTCTGAAAAAGATAGGGTTTTTTTTTAACAGGACTTATCCTTCTCATTTCCCAAAGCTTCAGTCTTTATTCTCCTTAGAGTGAGTTGGGCTCTGCTGTGCAACAGATGTGTTACAGACAAAAGAAGAGAGAGCAGAAATTGAGGCTATAGAGGTGCCTGCTCCCTGCCAGCATAAGACATTGTAGTCAGAAAGCAAGAACTCTTGGCTGGAACTTCAAGTTCTTTATTGTCAGAAAAAAAGTGAAAACCTGGGGACGTTCCTAGTAGACTGCACTGACAACATTACCCTTCTTTCTGATAAAAACATCTCTTAGCATACCTGGATTCTTAGTGAGCTTTTCCTGTTGACTTGGAATGGATACAGACATCATGACATACCAGAGGGGTAGCCGTGGGCTCCTCCAGGTAACCTTCAGAGAGGAGGTGCTGATTGCTTTTCAGTGAATAGGACAGAGCTGGGGCAGAGCAGCCCAGATGACCACCTGTATAAATGTGCGTTGAGCTGAGGCATGAAGTTTCAGTGTGAGGGCAGCAAGCAGATGTGCACCCCCTTATACTGCTGCTCTGCAAAGCGGGTCAGTGTACCCCACCCAGCACTCTGAGGCTTGTTTGGAGAGAACAGGGGTACAAGAGCCTCTTTGAACCTATCCCACAAAACTTTTGTGCCCTTGCTGGTATTTATTTCCAGTTTCCAGAGACCCTACTGCATCCTTGTGTCTTTTCCCTTCTAGGGAACACCCCATGTTCTTCATGTTTGTCCAGATGGCCATCATTTCTATCTTCAAGTCCTATCCCACTGTGGGAGACATTGCACTGTACATGGCCTTCCTTCCAGTCTGGAGCCACCTTTACAGATGTAAGTGGTTTGTGTTGGATTGTTCCTTATCAGCAATGGGAAAGGGCCTGTCCCAGAACTGTCACCACTAAACCACACCAGGCCCACGGCCGCAGGCTCTTGTGAGCTCCTCGGGGAGTCTGGAAGGAGGCTTGATTTTTCTGGTGATACAGTCACTCCTGTCTTTAGGACTAGGGTTGGAATTGGTCGTGGAGGGAATTTCCGCTGGTACCTTACCTTTACCCTCTCTCCAAGTTGTTCTGAAGATTAACTTTTTTGTAAGAACCTTCTACAGTCCTGCAGAAGGGATGTGGCTTATTTAAAGTACATACATCCTTTAGATGCTTCATTCCCATTTAAGGCTGTGTAATTGGAACACTGCTCCTGCAGTCAGTGAGTCACCCAGCCTTGAGATCCGGCATCTTGCAGTGGTTCTTTGTTTTGCATCTGCTTGTTTCTCGGCGTGAAAGTAACTGAATTACTCCAAGCAATTGTCCAGTTTTTCTTAAATGTTTCATAAAGAACCTTTTTTAGCTCTTTAAATCACCAGAAACCTTCCTGATGATTTTCACACTCAGTCTCTAGAACCTGCTGCACTGGAGAGATTTGGAAGCACTTGTTTTTCCTGGTGTTTCCTCCTTCAACCAACTGCTTTGACCAGCCTGGCCACTTTGTCCAGGCCTTTTGCTGCAGTCTTCTCTAACCCAGGCCAAGTGTGTTTGTGGACGGCTACCCTGCCTGATATCAGGAGACAGTCAGGAGCCGAGAGACTTGGAGACCATCTGCTGGGTTGGTTTCAGACCAAGGAAAGCTAAGGCCAAGGCAGCTGTGGTGGAACAGGGCAGGAGGCCCCGGGCTAGTCCTCAGCGTGTTGCAGCCATAGCAGGTGATGCACCGCTGAGAAATCCCGACTCAGCGTAGTTCAGTTGCACATTCCAGGCGTGCAGATAAGGGGACTGTGACCAGCGAGAGGGACAGTCACCTGTCACATGCTCCCACCCCACAGCGAGGGGACAGACCTATTGAACAAGAAGTTTGAAACGATAGGTGTGAACAGGTTTGGGGGTGACAATGCCCTTAACATGTTGGGTAGCTCCCTTCAGCTGCAGAATGACCAGAAGCCTTTCAGTTACCTTCAGGGACATTGGCTGAGCTATAGCCAAGCTCAGCAACACCAGTGCCAGGATGATTTATCGTACTGCTGCCAAAGGACGGGCATAAATAGTTCATGGAAAACAGGATCACTTCTGGCCTAGGAGTTTCTCACTGTTTTAGAGAGAGTCGTGCTTGGATTTTGTGCAAGACATACTCACGCAGACTAATGGATTCTGGCCACACTTGCACCTCCCGAGGTCACGTGTTTGTCAACGCATTTGGCCTGTATGAGTTTCCTCTTTTTAAGGTGCTTTCGTTGCCTTACCGCCTCCCGAGAAAGTGTCTCTTTTCCTGTGGCCCACTGGTTCATTTTTTTCCTTCATCAGCTTGACGAGGCTAGGGAACGGCATACTCTGCTCCCTGAATCATGATGCTCCTGGAAAGGCCCTTCTCAAAACCGGTGGTTACTGTAGTGCAGACACCAAAAAGCCAAAGTCCTCCCAGGAAGAGTGTTTGGCAGCAGGACCTAGAAGGAAAGAGTTACAGATGAGGATTTCACACACGAGCAAAGGCAGAAGTATTTATTTTAAAGAGAAATACAGTGGATTTCATATAAAGGCTAGACAGGAAATTATTAAAGTGTGACAGATTATTGGAGAGAAGTATGCGTTGGCAAGTGCCCCTCCCGCACTGCATGTACCCTGAATATCGTTGCTGGTTGTGTGAGCACGGCTGTTCAGTAGTGCATCATTTTAACAGCTTGGTTTTCTTCTGCAGTCCTCCGGAACGTCTTCATCCTGTCCTGTGTGCTGATTGTCTGCTCCTTCCTGTTCCCTGTTCTGTGGCATCTGTGGATTTATGCAGGAAGTGCCAACTCCAATTTTTATTATGCCATCACGTTGACTTTCAACGTAGGGCAGGTTAGTAGAGCGAGGCAAGCAAGGCTGCGCTTCGGGTAGGCCCCTGGGTCGGGTGTCCTGTCAGCAGCAGTGAATTCTGCAGGGGGTATTGGCTCTTTGCATCCCGTGTAGTCCTGCAGAGCCGCTTCCTGCTCTCCCTGCTCCAGCTGACATCGGCCTAGTCCTCACCTGGCACACTAACAGCAAGGAGTTCTTGTATTTGAGCTGTAGCTTAACAATCCAGCTAGACTGTGCTGCAAGGTACGCGCTCTGCTGCTTAGTAGCTGAGCAAGAGCATCTCGGTGTGGCAGGACTAAGAGCACACGTGAGTGGAGAAGGTGAGCTGAGAGGGGAAATGGAAAACAACTTGGGGCAGCAGCAGTGGGGCCAGACAACGGGCAAATGAGAACTGCCCGTACACGGGACAAGGCACCATTTTTCTGTGTTACACCTCGCTGAAAGGTGGGGGTGTGGGCACAGGCAGGGTCCCAGTCACGCCAGGGCTTGCTCTCCTTTTCTTCTCTAAAGCCGTTCTAGATACACGGCTTTCACTAGAGGTAGGGAAAACAGAGCTTTGTACCCCTGGAGGATGGGATCCAAGGTGCAGTTGCTACAGCCTTTTCTAAGTCCTTCTTCTTCTCTATGCTATTTGTTAGGTCCCTAAGCCCTGGGACAGTCTTACCTGTGGGTGAGCAGAATGTTCATTTCGGGTTAAAGTTGCCTTTATTTTGAGCGTGCCTCAGCCATTGTGGTTTGTCTGCTTCTCCTGAAACTGGAGGAGCCGTTTTGCCAGGGGCTGAAACCTGCTTGTACATCCCCCACCCCCTTGATACATGGGGACAAACACCCATTCTGTAACAGAGAGACTCCGTGCAGGGAGCGGGGTGAGAGGGAGGAGTATAGAGGAGGGTTTTGGGTGCTCTTCACTGGGCTGGGAGCTGGCTGGTCGGCCGAGCCCCGAGAGTTGTGGTGAATGGAGTTAAACCCAGTTGGTGACTGGTCACAAGCGGTGTTCCCCAGGGCTCAGTACTGGAGCTGGTCTTGTTCAGTATTTTTATCAACGACCTGGGTGAGGGGATCCAGTGCACCCTCAGCAAGTTTGCAGATGACACGAAATTAAGCGGGAGTGTTGATCTGCTGGAGGGTAGGGAGGCTCTGCAGAGGGACCTGGCCAGGTGGGATCGATGGGCTGAGCTCAGTTGTATGAGGATCAACAAGGCCAAGTGTCGGGTCCTGCACTT